GCGACTTCCTTTCTAGCAATACTCGATGGTGTTGTGTTAGAGCGCCACCTAGTGACGTAAGGCTTCCCTGCCAGTATATGGTCTCCTCCCCTGCACTCAGGCTTCAGCTCCAGGCAGCATTCGCTCCATAAGACACACAGACATTTTCCCCCACCTTTTTTGGGGGGGGGAAAGTGCGTCTTATAGAGCGAAAAATACGGTAAACTAAATTATCCTGTTTTAACCTTTTTTGTGACTAGGCAATATTTGTCAGAAAACTGGGTCTTTTAAATGTTCTTTCTTAATCAGTGGATGTGCTCTCTTCCTCCCTTAATAAACCTTCACAGTTTTACTTCACTGTTGTCATCTTTTAGGGCTGCCATGCTACAAATGGGAATAGACCATCCCACAGACCTCAGCCATCCTCTCCATGGTGTGCTGCAGCTGATGCAAAGTGCTACCTAAAACAGTGAGGCAGACACGCACACAGAGGTGGCACCAAAAACAGCACTCGGAGGGTCGCCATCCAATCACCACACTGCCTCTTGGGAGGGCAGTGTCAGCTGCCAATGCAGCAGCAGGGAAGAAGGCAATCCCGCCCACCAGATCAGCCTGGCAGGAGTGGGGTGGGAAACTGAGCAGCACCAAAAACAGTGCTCAGAGCTTCCAGGAGCTGCAGGGATCCGGGCACACCCTTTGCAGTCATCCTCATGCAAAGCGCAGCCTATCCCTGCAAGCAATCTGGCTCACCGAGGGTCAGGTTGGCCATCACGGGAGGCTCATCCCGCATGTGCGATGGAGCCAGAGAATGGGGATGGGCTACATCTCTGGTGATGGCCAATCTGACCCCAGGCGAGCTGGATTGCTTCAGCTGTGAAGAGCCTCGTTTAAAGTTTCCATCGCCCAGGCTTCCTGACGCTTACTTTTTAGGGTAGAGCTTATATTAGGCCCAACCCCCAAAATCAAGCTAGGTTATATTTTTGAGGAAACACGGTACTTCTATGTTTGTGAAATTTATAAAAAATGTGCAAAAATAGAGCTTCAATAATGTTAAAACTAAAATGTTCATAGTTTGATTTTCTTAATGGCTTCTTTATGTTAAAAAAAAACTAACATTGGACTTACCATCTGTTTAGAACAAAAGTAAACTGTGCCCTTTGAGTTGAGCTTAACTCCTGTTGACTTCATGGACAAAATCATGTAGTTTCTTGGCAACAATGCAGAGATGGTCTGTCACTGTATTGTTCCAGGATATTTTCTTCAACTTTGCAATTTAGCCTGCATCTCTACATTTTATAATGCTTTCTTATCTAAGATTAACCAAGTCCAATTCTGCTTTGCTTTCTGAGTTCAGCCATGGTCAGCTAAGTGCTATAATCTTACTGGGTAAAATAGGATAGTACAAGGCTAGATTTTGCAAACTCCATATTCTAGTAGTTTAAATAATGTCAGGAGTAAGAAAGTCAATTCATCTCAAAGAATAATAATCCACAGGATGAAGTAGACTGCTGTCACATGCTCCTGGTTCTGCCTGGAAAGCTAATAAATCCTGCATGAATCTGAAGCAGATATCATGCTTCACTTGGAGCATTTTCAAGTGCCAGCTCTCCCTAGTTTTAATTCCACTATTGGTTTAAACCTAATTTTTTATTATCGCTTGGCAAAAAGCACAATTACCCAGATTCACCCTGCCTAAAAGATTTCATGCATTGACTGTTTGTAACAGTTCATTCTTAGTAGAGAGGAACATTTTCATCTGACTGAAATCTACAATAAGAAGAACTGTAAAAGTTTCTGTATTACTCCAGGGGAATCAAAGTATCAAATTAAAAATCAAAGTATTAGTGTAACCAAATATATCTTGATAATAGCAGTATAAAAGTAACATAGCTATAGCCCATAGAGTTTATCTTACATTTTAATAAGAACATATTACTTTTCTTTTTGTATTTTTCATTAGGCTAACAGGATGCAGATAGCTGTATAATAAACAATTACATATATTATTTACATTGTGGCAACTTCAAGATACCTGTACAAATTCTTTCTGATTCTTCTAGGAATTCATTAAAATAAGATTGTATTAATTGGTGCTAATAAATAATGTATGGTTGTAATTCATGCTAAAGATGCATGTGTTAGTCTACTCTGATTTGTTTTTACATAATGAAATACAGCTAAACTGGAGGCACAATGAGCTGGATCCAGGCTGTTAGTCACAGCTAAAACCCACTAAAATCAGTCTGAAAAGTTACAGCTGTCTCATTTCATTTTTTGGGATTTCAATAGGCTTAGGTGTTAAGTGATTTATTCCGAATCTAGCCTAAGGATGACTAAAAATTATGGCTATAGTCCAATACAGAATTGGAAATGATGGATTTTAAACTGTGCCTGCATCTTTTTTAGATTGTAGCTTCAGTCAGGCAAATCTGCACTACGTATCACAGACATGACTTTTTATTATCAAATTAATAAAATTAAGATTAGTTTTAGCAGAAAACTAAATACTTTGTTTAATATTTGTCAGTAAATGAACACCTTAGTATTGACAAATTATTAAAGAATAAATATTTGTTGCCTTTGACTGCCCCACAGTGGCTGAATTTGAATTGTACTTTTTTCCCCAGGAAAAATACAGTATTTCTAATCAGTTTGGGATTAGCAGACACAAATAGTTGCTCTTCTTACAGAAAGATAAATTAATGAACACCTTTATTGCAAATTAGTCAAATACTTATTTAAATGATTTGAAATAAAAGTAATCATTTCATACAAATCTGAATTTTTAAATAACCTACAGATACAATCAAGAACATAAATTTCACAAAAAGCTAAAGTATTGATGTTGAAAGATTACCAGTTTGCTCAGTACCATAAATTAATCTGATTAATTGCTCTCAGTATGATAATCAGCAAAGCATCTCCGGATTTAATTTAAATACAATATTTATATCTCTGTATCAAGCATGGCATTCTGTCATGCTAGATAAGAAACTTAATTTATTCTTCTTCTCTGATCTTGAGGAGGTTGTGGATACATTATAATTATTCCATGCTTTGTGATAATTAGTTTCCAGTCAGGCAATTCAGAATTGTTCTAAAAATTTACTATAAATTTCAGTTCAGTATTGTTTCTTATTGTATAGATCAGTGATGGCGAATCTTTTAGAGACCGAGTGCCCAAACTGCAACCGAAAACCCACTTATGCATCGTCGGGTGCCGGGTGGGTGTGGCCCATTGAGTGGGTGTGGCTCATTGGGTGGGCGTGGCTGCAGTGGTAACAGCAGACTGGGTGGGACTAAAAAGTTCAATCAATCAATTCCAACTTTGCAAGAACTTTTTTTTCCCCACAAGAAGTTGAAACTGACTGATTGATTGAACCTTTTTTTTTGTACATGGCGGCGGAGGCCTAAAGCGAAAAGGTTTGATAAAACCCAGCTGAAGGCCTAGGACTGGGGCGATGGCACACGTGCCCACAGAGAGGGCTCTGAGTGCCGCCTCTGGCACCTGTGCCATAGGTTCACCACCACTGGTATAGATTGTATAATAATGTAGATGTTGTACAGCCAATATTTTCATAGTTCAGTTATTTATCAAAAGCACTTAGTGACATTATTTCATTCCGATGGTACTCTTCAATAGAACTGTGTGAGTGGCTTCACAATTCACTTCTAAGTTCACAGATTTTTTGCAATCAAAGATCATTGCAAACAAGAGCTGCCGTGCTGCCCCCTTTCTTGGTATTATCTATATTTGGCAAAACTATGAATCTACCAGGTTTTCCCACATCTCTTCTGATCTATGGTCTTCCATTGTTTAGACATGCTTTCTGCTCTTGCAGCTGATGAGAATATTCAAAACTGGGAATCTGGTTTGTGTGTATATATTTTTCTTTGTATGTGTGTATGCATACATGCTTCGAGCTTTTTAAACATACCCCCAAAGACCATCAAACTGATAGATTTCCTACTCTGAATTCAGCATTATGAATATAGCAAGATTATCCAGTTATCCATAAGCTACTTATGGAAATGTCAATTCACGAAAAACACAAAAGATAAATGGTAGAAAGGATTTTAGATATTTCCAGTTTTCTTCCATATTATCATATTTCAAATAGCTTGAGAACAGTTTGTGTGAGATTTTTTTTAATTAAAAAGGGAAGGTGATAAAGAAATGCAAGCTGCTGAAAATCTGTTTTGATTGCAGCAGCACAGAAATATGTTTAATTAATCAAATGCAAACATCTCTAAATCTTCAATTTCACTCTACCCATTTTCAGCCAACAGAAAAGACAAAGTGCTTTTATTAATGTATTTTTTGCTTGTGACTTGGTTTGTGTAAACAATCCGGAGAGCACAACCTATTAGGTAGTTTAAAGGTAAAGGTTAAGGCAGGGGTAGTCAACCTTGGCTCTTTTATGACTCGTGGACTTCAACTCCCAGAATTCCTGAGCCAGAGTTGGCTCAGGAATTCTGGGAGTTGAAGTCCACGAGTCATAAAAGAGCCAAGGTTGACTACCCCTAGGTTAAGGTTTCTCCTGCCCAGTCAGGTCCAGTTCCAGGGGGTGGTACTCATCTCTGTTTCTTAGCCAAGGGAGCCAGCATTGTCTGAAGACATTTCTGTGGCCATGTGGCCAGCATGACTATATGCCAAGACA